AAAGTGTTCCATCCAACACTTCTGCTTACAAATCTCATTGGCCAGAATGTGGTCACCTGTCCACACATAGCTGCAAAGGAGGCTGGGAAATGTAGTTTTTTAGCTGTGTGGCAGACTGCCCAGCTAAGTATGATGGTTCTGTTTTTAAGCAGAGAGGGGAAAATAGTCATCTCTCTCTCAAGGGCAAAGATGTAAGCCAGGGTGGGGGATGGTGACCCACTGGGGAGATTTCCTAAAGGATGTGACATCTAAGCTGGGTGCTGCAGGAGACAGGCCTCAGGTAAAACAGGCTTGGGTAGGGAAAATTGGAGATATGGGGGGCAGATGGAATTGTGGTGAGGGGACAGAAAAGGCAGTGAGAGAAAGCACATTTAGTGTGTAAAGATCTGGGGGAAGAGGAGTCCAGGGAGAGGAAACAGCAAAAGCAAAGGCTCTGAGGCCCAAAAGAGCTTTGTGTATCAGAGTAATAGAAAGAAGGTCAGGGTGGCCGGAGCGTGTGAATACTCGCAGATGGGGGGAGGCATGTGACAAGGTCAAGGGTTAGTTCCTACAGGGCCTGGTAGGTCATGGGACAGAGTTTGAATTTCACAGCAAGAGTGACAAGAAGCCACTACAGGGTTTTAAGCAAGGGAGTGATGTGACCCAATTTGCATTGTAAAAGGATCGCTCTGGCTGCAGTACAGAGAGTGAGAGAATGAGGAGGCACGCTGCCCAGTCACAGTGCTTCCTGGGTGAGATCGAGTCATCAAAGACTCTAAAGCACTCTGGAGAGGTAAGCGCTTAGTCCAAACGTAAAGTGTACTAAATGTGGCGTGTGGTTGCCCCCAGCGTCTCCAAAAGGCCAACGTCGTCCATCCCTCTCACCGGTGACAGCCAGACCGACTCTGACATCCTGGCATTCATCAAGGCCAGACAGAGCATTCTGCAGAAGAAATGTAAGTCACCTCCCTCGATGGCCGCTCTAGGGCCACAGGTCACCTGCTCTGCTCACTAACACTTGCGGGGAGGTGAGGGAGAAGCTGGAGCAAGTGAGGTGAGAAGGAAGTAAGAAGCTTCCTGCATGTTCCCAAAGTCACAAGCCTGACCTTCTGGTCCCTTCACCTGTGCCTGGCCTCTGCCTCCTCCTGGAAATCCCAGAGGGGCAGCATCAGAGACGCCATGACAGGGCCAATGGGTGGCTGGCCCGATGCTCCTACCCCACTCGGCAAACTTCCTTTCCCTCTTCCAGATCCTTTCGTTCTCCTGTTTGTTCTCTGAACCCAAAGGCAGCGTTCTCCTTTGCCCAGCCCTGTCCAGACAGGAAGGGGCTGTGTGATGATTTGGTAATTTGTTGGATTTCTGGCTAGAAATCTCACCCTTGTGTCTGAATGTGGTTCTTGCCAATCAGCTGTGGATGTAAACACCACTTGAAGCCTCAAGCCTGAAGACATTTTAAATGAGAGAGGAAATGTGGGTGGATGTCAAACATGAAGAAAGGAGAGGGCCCTTCCCAGCCTTGCTCACAGACCTGCCCTACCTTTTCCCTTTGGCAGCTGCCCATCTGTTGGATAGGCCTTTTCTTCTCCCGCCTTGTGTCCCCCCAGAGACCCAGCCCTTACCGCAGCCCTGCTTTCAGTTTTAGCCTCTTCCTAGTAATCCGAAGGCTACTAGACAGACTTAGCATTGCTTTCCCAAGACAGAAGTGTCCCCTTGGTGGGATGCAGTGGCAGACTTGGGTCATCTGACGATTGACAACCCCTGCCCTGAGGGGCCCACACTCAGTTTCACAATCAACTTTCTGCAAGTGAGATAGTTGGGGGTTTGCACAGGGATAGAGCACCCCAACTAAAGGATGACCTTTACCATGTCATCCTCACCAGTAAAGAGCAGGCACCCTCATCGGGATGCCAGCCTGCTAACTGTTCTCTCCTCACCGCAGGATCAGCAACATCACACCATCTTCACGTCGTTTCTGAGGGCTGAGACACCTCAGCTCTGCCATCAACTTGCTGTGACTCCTTGACCACTAATTTGCCTTCTCTCATCCTCAGTTTCACCAGCTGGAAAAAAAGAAAGTGTCTTAGTTACCTAGTGCCACTATAACAGAAATAACACAAGTGGATGGTTTTGGCAAACAGAAATATTTACTCTCACAGTTTAGGAGGCTAGAAGTTCTAAATCAGGGTGCCAGCTCTAGGGAAGTCTTTTTCTCTCTGTCAGCTCTGGGAGAAGGTCCTTGTCATCAATCTTCCCCTTGTCTAAGAGCTTCTCAGCGCAGGGACCCTGGGTCCAAAGGTCACACTCCACTCCTGGCTCTTCTTGCTTGGTGGTAATGAGGTGCCTTTCCTCTCTGCTCAATTCTCTCTTTTATATCTCAGAAGAGATTGACTGAAGATACAACCTAATCCTGTAGATTATGTCCTGCCTCATTAACGTCACTGCTTCTAATCCTGCCCCATTAACATCACAGAGGTTAAGATTTACAACACATAGGATAATCATATCAGATCACAAAATGGAGAAAAACCACACAATACTAGGAATCATGGCCTAGCCAAGTTGACACACATTTTGGCGGGACACAATTCAATCTATAACAGAAAGAAAGAGAAAATTGGTTTCAGTGATCTCCAAGGCCCCATCAATCCCAAAAATACTAATGATATGTATTGGGCACTGAGCAATAGAGAGCAGCCAATCGGTGAACAAAACACTGTATCAGGTATCTTGTCTGTGCTAGGCACTGCACCCAGTGCTGGGGCCACAGCAGTGAGAATACAGAGTCAAGCCCTCAAGAAACTGGCGTTCTAGTGGGGAAGGAGGAGACAAATAAAGAACACATCAACGAATAAATGGGACCATTTGCGGTGCTAATAAGTGCCTTGATGTAGCTAACATACATAGTGTTGTAGGCAGCAACAGAGAAGGCTGCTTTTGACCGGGGTAGGTGGGGAAGGCCTCCCTGCAGAAGAGAACTTCAAACTGATAGCTGAATAGTGAGAGCCGAGCAGTCATTGTGAAGTCCTGGGAGCAAGTTTTCTCAGCAGCAAGTGAAGAGCCCTGAATGGGAAGGGGCTCTGCTTGGTCACCGGGTGGGAAGGAGGCCATCATGACTTGAGTACAGGGATCCAGGGAGCAGGGCCAGATCACACGGGCCTTATGGGCCAGGGCAAGGAGTTTGGATTTTATTCCAGGTGTAGTGGGAACCATCCAACTGACACTTTAGAAAGCTCACTCTGGCTGTCATATGTAGTGTAGTTATAGGGAATCAAGAGTAGACCGTTCTCAGGCTATTGTGAAGGCAAGGGATGAGAGTAGCCTGGACTTTCCAGTGGGTTAGATGTGAAGTGTGAAGGAAGGAGAGAAAAGCACAGCTCCTGGGCTTTTGATCTGACCAGCTAAGAGCATGGTGGTACCACTCACATGGCAAAGACCATCCTTTGGTTGGGGTGCTCCATCCTTGCACAAACCTCCAGCTGTCTCACCTGCAGAAAGTTGGTCATGAAGCTGATTATAGGCCCCTCAGAGTAGGGGTGGTCAGTCCATATATGATCTCAGTGAACTGAGAAAGGCAGGGAGGAGGAAGTTTCAGAGGGAAGGAGCTGGAGTTGTCAAGAGTTCTGGGTAGCCCATGTGTCTTAGGCTGAGTTTTCTAGAGAAGCAAAACCAGTAAAGCATATAAATACATATAGAGAGAGATTTATATCAAGGAAACAGCTCACAC